CCCATCCTGGCACAAACGGCTCGATTAGTTCCGGCTTTGATGAAGGGCCGCCTTCTGAAAAACAAAATGTGTTGTGATTGGTTAGCTGTCCCAGTGCTTTGTGATTGGCGAACAGCTTAGACAGTGTTTCAGTACTGCCACGCCCCTTGCTCCATCTTTCAACAAAAGCTTTTGGGTGAATCCGGCAGGGACTGCACTCCATGTTGTGGAAGCTGTTCTCAGTAATATGCGCAGCACACAATAGCAAATTGGGGTTATAATGCTCAGGAACAGAATTAAAAAATAAATTGCAACCACTTGTTCCTGAAATCATCCGCTTTCGGAAGCCCAAACAAAGACGTTTGTCAAAAGTGACCATAAAGACATTTAATTTGTATTTTGTGACACTGAAGACTGGAGTAATGGCTGCTGAAAATTCAGCTTTGCCATCACAGGAATAAATGACATTTTAAAACATAATCAAAAAGAAATGGTTATAATAAATTCTAATAATATTTCACAATATTGCTGTTTTTACTGTATTTTTGAGCCAATAAATGAGACTTTTTCCCAAAACATAAAAAATATGATATACCCCGAACTTTTGAACAATATATTGTCTTATCTTTATGAATTTATCTTGTTTTAAGGATGCTTCGAAAAACATTTTATTGGAAAACAAGACAGTGTTTTTTGCAGTGCAGATGCAAACCGTTTTAGGTGAAACTGTATTGATTTAATAAGAACAACTTGGGCACTCTAAGCAAAATGCTAAATAAAATTCAATAAAAGATCAAGCATGATTTTTTTTTTTTTCACATTATTTATAATGTTAATTTTGGCAGACATTTTCTAAGTGATGCAGAAGAAACAAAAACAGTGTTATCCTCTCATTCTGTGACCTCTTGTGGGAAAATGTTCCTTTGGCTCATTTAATTGAAACGATAATGAAGAATGTTTATTTCTTCCGAATATTTATTGATGAAAGTCAAGGTTATAATTGTAATAATGGGCACATCTGCTCTCTCCTTTTAGTAATTCTTAATTAGGAGCTATTCCTAATTGTCAAATTACTGAAACATATGTGCCTATTCCGATTTGTAATTTCCCATGCGGCAACAATAACAGCGAATAATTTAATGAGGCGTTGCAAAAAGCATCTTCCAACCCAAAACAATAAACTTTTGAATTCTAGGAGTGATTTCAAAGTTCTCATCTATCAGATTTTTAGCTTATAGTTCTCTATTGACACAAACATGCACACAAACTCTCACAGTTCAATGCAGTAAACATGGTCTTGAAGCATTTTTGACATTCCTTTTGATTTTTCGAAATAATAAATGCCAGTGTTTGTGTCATTTTGTGACGTACTGTTATTATACTCAATAATATCATGCATACTTTGGTCTGGAAGTTTACACAGTCCACACTACCTGTTACTTGGTTACCTGCACATTGCATCAGGACCTGGGTTAGACATTTTTAGCCAAGATAGTGGACACGCAACTTAAACTTTGATTGCCAGGTTTGAATATCATCCAGGATTAGCAGTGAGACGGGAGAATAAATATGTCACTCGGCGGTTGAGATGCGTAGCGCTGTTTGAAAAATATTAATGATGTGTCTGGAAGTCAAGAATTAAACTGTATAGGAGGCCACTCTCTTGTGGCTGAAAGATTCAGTATTACAAAATTGTTGGATGGTTTTGAAGTCGGCCTCTGTAACTCACTCTGTACCAATCAGGACTGTTGTTTTTGTTGTATGGGTAACCGAACAGTGCATTACATAATTAAATCATATCTGGTGTACTTGCGTTGAAGTGTACACATGTGATGCACTTTGCCACCCACTTCTAAACTGGAGTACTTCAGCCTTGAGTGTAAAAAGCTTCTCTGGCTTGCACGAGGTTAGTAATGGATACATGATCAGATAACTCCATGAAAGGTCACTGAGTCATTGACTTTAGCAAACCAGGTCCTCAGTCAGTACCTGAAGATGTTACCTCTAATTTTCTGTGTATCTTTTGTTTTGGATTTTCAACATTGTGCTCATTTGTGTACCAGTTTGGTTATTATTTCATAAAGTTCTTGTTGAATTGTATGCATTTTAAACATTGTGTCCAATAAATATGTTAATATTTTTAGCCTTTTGTTTTCATCTTCGTCTACTACAAAATTAATGTGAAATTTGTTTGTGTGTGTGTGTGTGTGTGTGTGTGTAATCTAAATAAATACTACACTTTTTTGAAAATGCTTGTTTTAAAGTATAAAAGAACAGATTGTTTAAAAATTATAAATTATGAATAGATAAATTGTTTACAAAAATTACATGAAGCAAACTGTGAAATTCGAGTTTTTAACTTTAATCTTGCTTACATCCCACCTTTAAAATGATTAAAATATATATGAAAAATGAATAAAATATGTATAAAAGAAACCTTATAAAAGTTTTTTTTGTTTTGTTTTTTTTGCACAAAAGCCAAATGAATTTAATTGCAAAATATTAGTTTTGTCCTTGGAAAAAATATCAGAAATATCAGAATTTCTTAAGATATTATGACTTGTTTTACTTATTTTTTTCCCCCTGTCATGAATCCAAGAAAATTTAGTGGGGTTTATGAAATAATCAATCAGTCAATCAATGATGTTATATTCTTTGAAACAAGTGTCTTTTTCTTTTGAAGAAGAAATGTATACTTTTTTTAACAAGTAAATTGAACAAAAGTCACTAAAGTCTTATTTATTCATATTTTTATTTAATATTTATGATGTTACATTTCTATTTCAAATAAATCTCTCTCTCTCTCTCTCTGTGTGTGTGTGTGTATATATATATATATATATATTAGGGATGTGCATCTCATGACTCAAGCCAATACGATACGCATCTCGATGCATAGCCAACGATACTATACATTAAAGATACATATGAAGCAGCTACCGATGCACCTAGCCTAACTATATGAAATGAAAATGTACAAAAATGTAGTCAGTACTTTTTAAAATTGTAAGAAGTAAAAATGAGAAACATTAGAAATGTATTTTAGTGAAGTATTCAGTTTAAATTACACTTAAGTTAAGTACAAACCCCCCAAAACAATATTTAATTTCAGTAACGTTAGTGAAATAAAATAAAATAACTCTTTACACCTATGCATAAAACGATTGCAAGACATTTCATGGTACATGACCCGTTTCTGCTCACCTGCTCCCTGGTTGTCTGTTTAATAGCATTGACCCTAAATAACATGTGAATATAATGTTGGCTACTTCAGAAAACAGAAAATAAGCACATCTAAAAAAATCTCTTACCTTTATGAAAATGTCGAGGGTAAACGAACATAACCGGAGATATGTTGGCAAATATGATGATTTTGCATATCACCGCTGCAACCCAGGCCATCTGACGCGGCGACGCCTCTTGTTGTTTAGTCTTTTTTTCAAGTGTGAGACCTAAAATATCTTTCTTCGTGGTGAGTTTTTGACCTTTTCTATCATGTAATTCACTATTGCAGACTTTAACACAACAAGAACGTACCATTTTAAATCAAATAAAAAAGACAATTCTCCAACTACAGAACACCTCGGCTTTGATACCCTACAAATGGCGGAGATACCCAAAATGCACTTCGATTCTCGTGAGTGTGACGTCACCTGACAAAGACCGATTGCGTGTAATCACATCCATACAGTTTATGATCATAACAACAACAACGTTTGTCAGGCATCTACATTGTCATCTATGGAGATTACAAAGATTAAACGACTGTTTTTTAAAACTCTAAAACATGAAATGTGGAGTAATCTGCTTTTGCCAAAAAACGACTGTTGGAGTTATCTGCTTTTGCAACAAGTTGAACATTACTATTTCATGCAACAAAAATGCTTTAAGTTTCATTTAAAGCATTACCAATCCAGAAATATCAGGAACAAAAGGTCAGTTCCAAGAAAAACATTGAACATCTGTCACCAGAAAACGGTTCCTAAACCTAGACTCCCCAGAGCGATTGTGAATAAACACACAGGTAAACATACTGTCAGACGCTTGTCTCTCTCCCTTCCCTTCTACCTCTTCCAGGAGATGCTCGTGAGATCCATACTAACTGAAAACAAACAGAGCAGAGGTCTTTGCTATTCCCATCATGCTCTGCTCAAACAGTGGGCCACCATCTGGAGGGGCTTCTTTGAATGGCAGTGAGGGTTTTGCCACCTTAAAACAGCTCCTGGTTTAAGCTTCTCACAGATGTTTCATTAGAGCTTGTTCTCCAAATTCAGCTAGTTATTCATTCCTGGCTTGGAATCAACAAATAGCTGAATTTAGAGAACAAGCAACTCAAGCAAAGATTGATTCAGGATTTGGTGTATGTATGAATGGGATAAAATAATATGTGTGGGTGTGTACTGTAGGCTATGTTTGAAAGACATCAAGCATATGAAACATCTTAATGAATGATGTAATGACATAAACAGAAAAGCAGCAATGTTTTCAAACGTCAAAAGAAAACCTGGTTTTATTCTTGGAGAATATCACATTATTTTCCCTCATGGCCAGTCTTTAGTAATCCAAGCATCTGCTTCTAACCTTCTTTTGTTGAATGTGATTAACGTTCTTTGGGCTATTATTTATCCTCTTTGAAGATGTTTCAAGGGCAGATCGTTATGGAGACCAGCCAACAGTGTCATGCTGTACTGCAGCCAATGATTCAACCATTCATTTGATTACAGCACAGTGTTTAATTAATGCTGCCAAATGAAACCAGCAGCTAGAGTCAAGATCTTTGTTCCAAAACCTAATATAGTCAGCAATCTTGTAAGATAGCATCCTAATTACTTATAACCATAGATAAGTATACGTAGGTGCCACATTTGACCGCTCCAGGCACGTCGACGTGTCTGCCATCTTGGAATGGTCAACATATCACTCACAGTAAAAATTTTAAAGAAATGGGATAACTTTTCACAGGTGAGAATGTGTTGGTTTTTGTTTTTGTATGTATTTAATATTACAGATGAACTATGGTATCTTTTTAATGTTGTGTAAGCTAACGTCTTAATGTTGTTGTATTGTGTTAGTTTTGCAAAATCATCTTAAGTCTATTGCAGATATATATTCATACATAACTTTAGCACAGCCAACTTGCTCTCAAATGTACACAGTCTGACTTTGACCATTCCAATATGGCGGACGGCTTACATATAGCAGCCCATAGAAACAGCCAATAATGTATGGAGCTAATATTATGACAAAACAATTTGAATTTGAATTGTGTTAAAGAGGCATGTAATGACTTGTTAGCTTAGCAACATGCTAACATAAGACACTACAGCTGTTCTGTTTGTAGTCCTCAAACCAGGAACACAACATTTTCAAGTTTGTATCCTCTGGGCTTTCAGAATAGTTGTTTTTGATTAGCGGCTATAATGTTAGTATGCATTAGCATGAATTTTGAAGAGGATATATTCTTTTTATTATTATTTTCTAAAATGGTAAGAAGTTGCTGCATCGTAGGTTACTGCTATAACTGACTACAAAGGTTGTCTGATTTGCCTAGCATGTAAACTTATATCCTTGTGGTACTTGTAGATCTTTTATAGCAACTTAACATTTTTAACAAAATACAGCTTCAAAATTCATATTTGAGGTGTAACTGTAGCATGCTAACATTAGCCGCAATAAATCAAAAGCTAATATGAAAACCCAGAGGATCCAGACTCGAAAATCGTAATTGTCTTCTTGTCAGGACTATAAACAGAACAGCTTTAGTGTCTAATATGAGCATTGCTAAGCTAATAACAACAACACACACACACACACACACACACACACAAAATACATAGTACACATAAATAATAAGCAAAATAGACAATTTTTTATTATATTCAGCTAATTTACTTTGCTTTGTTGACTTCAACAGATATATTTGAAAAATCACTTTTTTCACTTTGTTGCAGTGCATTCTGGGATTGCTTTACCCTCAAAGGATACATATGGTGGTGACATAGAATTCAAAACATGTGCTTGGAACAGCCTTCACATTAGGATTATGCCTATGATTACTTGAAATGTCTAGTTAACCAGCTCATCGGTTTTTGAAAAGGTGAATACTAATATTTATCATGTTGTGGCCTATAAATGTAAACTGACCATGAAAACGTGATTTTGGATTAAATTATTTTGTATTCAAGTATTTGAGTTGACGTAGCAGTCATAATAAGAGATTACAAACCTCTAACTGTGTGTACAGAGTAAAATCAGCAAATACCATTTTGTGAGTAGGAAATGAAGAAACACAGAATTAGTGTGAAGAGAAAACATGGTTGTCTGTATTATAATATAACATGCACAAGAAGAGCGTCTACATGTTAACAGTGTGGACATGGACATGTTGACATGGTTACAACAAAGACACCCAAGTCTCTCATTTTTCAATCTGTAACAACTCCATGTATGGCGAGAAGCAATCGAATAAATTCAGTTTGCGTGACTGCAGGGGAATACAAATGTGAGAATAGGCTAGGATTAGCTGAAAAAGCACCCTGAGACTTTGTGATTTATGATAGCGTGTTTTGTATCCAGTGGTGTTCTTGTTTATGTGAGAGTTGCCTTACTCTTGCGGTCTCCGTCAAGTCATGGGGATTAAAACCAATTTTTTTTTTCTTCAAACTGTGAGCTTCGAACTCTTTGTCGTCACAGGTGACACATAAAGGTCTCCACGTCTGCTGAGTACACACACATCCATACACACTTTACATAAAATTGCATCAGACTGACATATCTGGTAACGATTTGTATTTCATTTGTCTAGTCTGTAAGAAAACACAATATCCTATGTTTAATTTAGAACTGGAGTGAGCAAAGTCTGTTTGTAGAATACTAAAAAACCTCTCTTGGCTATGCTGGAAATAACATACTACTCGCACCATTTCTGCAGAACATAGTAGCCTATGTATACGGAGCACAGTATGCAATTTTTTGTATAAAATATAATTGTCAAAATGTGCATTATACTACATAACACATTGCTCTTAATACTGTTTCCCCACAATGCAGTGCGCTCTGCAAAATGGAAAGTAACCATGTTTATTATTTTTATTATCAATAATATATTATTAATAATAATATAATATATTAATAATAATTAATATATCAATAATGTCAATATGCTCCCATATGCATATATATAATATATAAATGTACATTTTAAAAATACAAGTTTTTTTAAATATTAATTTTTTCATGATTCAGTATTCAATATTCATGATTATTATCATTCCATATTGCTTACAGTTAAATGTGTAGTATAAATCTGTATGCTATTTCATTCTGAACATAGACCTCTTTCTCTCTCTCTCTCTTTTCGATGCATCTCCTCTTTCTTCATTCTGCTTCTCTCCATCTGTCTCTTTGTCTGTTTCTCTTGCTTTCTTTTTTTCTCTCATAATGACAGCACTCTCTGGCAGCTGAATGTCTGTGGATGTGCACCTGTGGGCTGGGTGGGCTCTGACAGTGCTCTGCCTTTCTGGAGCCGCTTATAACGCATCTGCGATGCCTTAGGCTGCCTCTGTTTCTGCTGCAGTTAATGGCAGGACTAGACCACAGATCCAGGCTGTGTAACTATAGAACTTGGAGAGGTAGATTCTGCAGTCTCCTGAAAACATTAAAATTTAAAGAAGAGGAGAAAGGAAAAAGAAAAGAGAAATAATAAGAAGGTGTGTCTAATAAGATCTGGCAGAATCAGTTAATAATGAAAACGTAGCCCAGGTTAAATATTTGCTCATTGAAATGCAAGCCTACTTAATGAATGTTGACATTGAGTCTCGACGTGGGTCTCGATAAAAAAAAAAAAAAGCCTCAATCACAGCTTTTCTAATATAATTAAAATGTGTGCTGGGGGGCCGGTATGTTCCCTCAAGAGATTTGTGGTGTTAAGAAAAGAATATATTAATGTTGAGCTCAGTGACAGGACATGCCCTCACTAAATTAACCTTAAAGAAATAGAGAGACACAAGACAATGATGCTCCACTTAAAGTGTTAATGACATCTTAACAAGAGAGCTCAAGCCTACTTGATCTCTGACCTTTCAAAATTGATGCGAGACCAGAGAAATATTGATCATAATTTCCCTCATTAGAGTCTGTCTTTCTTTGCCTTGTGATATTTCAGGTTCATTTTTGCTTAACGGGATAGTTCCCAATTGCTCACCCTCATGTCTTTCCAAGCCCATATGACTTTCAATGTCGTTTGGACCCCATTTTGCTTCAAAATATCTTCTTTTGTGTTCTACAGAAGAAAGAAATAATAGTCTAAGCTGATTTGAAAAGACTCCCACTCTTAGATAGTTTATAGGATATTTAAGTTATTATAACTTAATAGTAGGCTTTAATAAGGGGTTAAAGGCCACGCCAAAAAAAGGCTCCAATTAAGACCTGTTATTATGGTACATTCCATTAAACTCGGAAAGTCGGAATCAGAAAATTGTGCAGAAATCTACAACATAGATTTGTAACATCATGGCAGCCACAGGGAATTTTAATCATTTAATGAGAAAATTTGAATTTTATTAAGCAAATATATATTAAAGCGGTCATATGATGCAATTTCAAATTTTCCTTTCTCTTTGGAGTGTTATAAGCTGTTCGTGCATAGATAAGATCCCTAAAGTTGCAAAGACTAAAGTCTCAAACCCAAAGAGATATTCTTTATAAAAGTTAAGACTTGTCCACGCCCTCCAAAAACGCCTCATTCAAACACGCCCCAACATGTATACGTCACTGTGTGGGAAGCTTTGCATAACGCCGCCCAAATGTTCACGCAAAGAAAGAAGACATAATCTGTTTGTTAAACATTTGCAGATGCAATTGTATAAAAAAATTCTCTGATAAACCTGCCACACAAATGCTAGCATTGGCGTTTAATTTCTTTATACGACAACAAAAGGTCAGAAATCCTAGTTAGACATATTGAGGACAGAGGCTGACCACCGTTTTGAGGTTCAGCCCATTTGGGCTCATGGTCTCTACTAGGATAAATGGAAAACCTCACAATCAATTTCCTTGGACAGGAAGGATTAAAACTAGAACAGGTGTGCTTCTTTAGCCCTAACTGGACACACCGGCCAGCCACCGAAGCAGTGTCATCCATCATTCTTTAGTCTGTATCTGCAACAGCTGGGTGATTGAGAGAGCGTCACCGTTTAAGAATCAATCTCCATTTCTTCTTCCTCTCCCACAGTGCACTCCCTCCGCGACGCGCTGCTATGGCAAATTGATTGACTTCTGGTAAATACGGCATTACCACAAAGTCAGAGGCAGGAATTTATCATCATTTATGTCTCTTCCATCCGAGAATTCATTATGAGGCTTAAACAAACAACAAAGATGGGCCGCAACCATCTGCTTGTGATGCACAGTGTGAGGAAGAGTGCTGGTGGGAAGGTTTAAGGGGACTGAATCCTTGCTGGATTAAATTATAGTTTCTGGCATCAACAAAGATGCAGATACATATATTTACAGATGCCAATTGAATGGGTTAAGTTATAATTTTTTTTATAATTAATGAAGTGTTTATAATAAATTTATTTTAAAATACATTTTATATTTAAATGTATTTTAATTTAAATCATTATAACCTTAATTATAACCAGTATTAATAATACTTTAAAATTACATTTTTCTATTGAATGCAAATAATTTATTTTAAAAATAATTTATATTTATTAATTAAAATGTTTGTTACAAAAATAATACTGTAAAATTGTATTGTCTATTCGATGCTTTTGTCTTTTGAAAATATTGATAAATGCATTATAAATTTGCCCTGCCCTAATACACAGTATATCTGCTTGCTACTGATCCAAGGTTCATTGGGCTACACTGAAAAAAAAAGTTTTTATTATTATTTTTTTTCTATGAAACCACTTTCACTTATAAATTGGTAGTAAATTTCACGTTCTTCCAGCACAAAGCCTCATTGAATTCTGCCTGCTGCTGTTAGATTTCCCCCCACCAGAGTGAAAATATTTGTTTAATATCAGTGACAGTGAGTGTAGACAGTGGAGACAGGAGGGGGGCAGAATTAGACTGCGGCGCCTTGCGATTCAAGCTTGTGTTTCAAGCTTGATGACAGTTTAATGAAATATATGGGGTTTGATGCCACATAGAAGCTGTTTTCACATTACAGAGGAATTAACAGACTGTGCCTCTGCATAATAATTGAGCAAATCTGATACTGTACCCTTGGATAAAAGTTCAGAGTTAAAGACATTGTGAAATCAAAATTGGCCCTATTTACTTGTCCCTCGTCTAATTGTGCACAGTTCATCAGTCCATGCTATTCTAAACAATAAAGCATTTTAAAAATATGCTGTTTTCATAACCATCAAGATGTTAAATGAATAAAGATGTTTTTTTAGAGCCAGTACTTCCAGCATCTACCATATAGGTGAGTTACCAAGGCCATGCTAACCAGCTAAACTTTAACCCTTTGACCCCAAAGTGCATTGAAAAAAAGGCAATGGATGCGTCTGAAACGGCAAGTAACACATTGAATTCAACTTAACATTTTTAAGTAGAAAGACTGAAATAGGGCTTTCTATAGGGCTTTCTTGTAAAACATCGTTTACAACTTAGATAAATCATTTTTTACTGTTGTTGTGTTGTTTTCAAAGAAAAATTTTTTTTTTCTATGCATTGAATTGGTCACAGCTGGACATTGAGAGAGGGCAGAAGTAAAGAAGGACTCAGCAGTGCCTAAAACAGCTTTAAGTTTGGCCAGACAAATTGCACTGTTGCAAATCATAGACCTCTGGCCTTCATATCCACACTCTCACAAAAAAGGTATAAAACTGTCACTGGGGTGATGCTAATATGTACCTTTAAGTGGTAAATGTACCATTTAGGGGTAAATAAGTTTCAATGACAAAGGTAACTTTTAGCTTTTGTACCTTTTAGCTTTTGGTAGCACTCCAATGACAGCTTTTTTTTCTGAGAGTGCACAGCTGGGCAAATTAGCTTCAGCAGGCATTGTCTGAGGACATGTAGCTAAATCAGACTAGCATCAATTTTCAGAGCTTGAACACTCTCTAACAATGCATGTTTACAGCACACGTTGAGATCATGTTTAAAAGGGCAAAATAACAACCTTTTCAGAATCAGAATTACCTTTATTCACCAGGTGTGCGCAAACACACAAGGAATTTGTTGTGGTTTTTTAAGGTGCTCCTGGTACATACATACATGCATAGATACACATCTGACATGAGAACAGAAAAACATTTAAATAGTAAGACTTAACAATAAATAATAATAATAATAATGTGTATGAATCTGGAACAGTAGATTTATGTACAGACTTGTGCATTATTTACTTTATATACAGCTGTATAAAAAAGAGAGATGCATATGTATTTACATAATATTTGAGAAAGAGGCAATAATTAAAGATAGAGAATGAATTACAGAAATGAATTACAGAACACAGGTAATGATTCATGTATTAGTTGTTTAAGCTGGAGATGGCATGGGGAAATGACTGTAGTGTCATCTGCAAACCTCAGGATCTTGACAGAGGGGTCTTTAGAGGTGCAGTCATTTGTGTAGAGGGAGAAGAGCAGTGGGGAGAGAACACAGCCCTGAGGAGCTCCAGTGCTGATGGTGGGGTGTTGGATGTGAGTTTTCCCAGCCTCACTAGCTGCTGCCTCCCTATTCAGTGTGTATTTGACCTGTTTGTACAAGGCTTTGTCCCCACTCCTGTAGGCGTCCTCTTTGGCCTGGCGAAGCTGTTTGAGTTTTGCACTGAACTAAGGTTTGTCGTTGTTAAATGTTAAAAAAGTCCTGGTGGGAACACACATGTCCTCACACAGAAACTGATGTAGGATGTCACGTTGTCAGTAAGCTCATCCAGATCAGTAGCTGCAACCTCAAAAACACTCCAATCAGTAAGTTCGAAGCAGGCTTGTAAATCCCACTCTGCTTCAACAGTCCATCTCTTTACAGTTCTTACTACAGGCTTAGCAGATTTGAGTTTCTGCCTGTAGGCTGGTAGAAGATTAACCAAACAGTGATCAGAGAGTCCCAGAGCTGCTCGGGGGACAGAGTGGTATGCATCCTTTAAAACAGTATAGCAATGGTCCAGTATATTGCTGTCCCTGGTGGGGCATGTGATGTGCTGTCTAAATTTAGGCATTTCACGGGTGAAATTAGCTTTATTATAATCATAGAGAATGATAATGAAAGAGTCCGGGTAACGCTGCACTGTGTGTGTGATCTGATCGGCCAACAGTTCTAGCGCCGCGTTCACACGTGCATCAGGAGGAATGTACACACTCACCAAAACAAATGAGGAGAACTCCCGCGGTGAATAAAAAGGCTTACAGTTAATAAAGAGAGCTTCCAAATTTGGGCAGCACATCTTCTTTAAAACTGTCATGTCTGTACACCAGCCTTCATTGATATCAAAACATAATCCACCGCCTCTCGTTTTCCCCGACGACTCGGTGACGCGGTGCGCTCTGAACAGCTAGAAGCCCGTTAGATGTAAAGCGCTGTCCAGGATGGCTCCGTTCAGCCAGGTTTCCGTGAAGCAAAGCGCAGCAGCATTTAAAAAGTCCTTGTTTGTGCGGGTGAGGAGTCGTAGTTCGTCTGATTTATTTGCTAGAGAGCGGAGATTCGCCAGATGAATGCTCGGCAGCGGAGTCCTAAAACCACGCTGTCGGAATTTCACGAGCGCTTCCCTCGCTTGCGTCGTCTGGTGCTAAACGCAGCTCCTCCGACTAAAATGTCCAGTAAAACTTCTGAATGCTCAAATGTCAGCAGAAAGTTATTTGGTGTGCTATTTCTGTTGTCCAGGAGTTCGTTTTCTAGTAAAGCTGATCGGGAAAAGTTGCTTAAGACAGGACAAACAAACAAAAAAAGTACAAGTACCAAGGAGCGACAAACCGTGGCTGCCATCTGCGGCACCATCTTGTATGTGTTCTTTCCAGAAAGA